AGACCCGTGTCAAACAACCATGTAAAAACAGCTATTTAAGGAAGGGAAGGAGAGGAAGAGGAGAATTCATGTCAGATATTCTCCACTTACATTGATACACAGATATGGCTGAGAAATGGACAGTGTGAGACAACTACAATGCTACATATGTGGATAGTTCCAAACCCCTCACAAACCCCAACCAGAAAGGAGCCACAAGGAGGACATAGTATGAATTGGATAAGAGAAATTACTAAGGGTAGAAGAAAGATGCTAGGGTATGCATAAAGGAAAGAACCTTCCAATCCTGGCTGAACTCATCCACGGCCAAAGTTAAAGGATGTGAAATTAGGGACCAAAAAAGAGAGTAAGCTTGGCATTCAATTGAGAGGCAAATGCACCCAGTTGGAGAGTGTCCAACTGAGAACAAAGCCATCTGAATACCTAGGGTCCAGAGACCACTTTGTGGGTAGAATCTTTTGAAGATGGGACAGATGATTCATGACAAGATTGAGAGCACCTGGTATGTGACAAGCCAGCAAATTAATTCAATGGCTGTGAACCCAGAAGAGGAAATCTATAGTGCAGAAACATAAGAACTGGGATTGAGTGCCCCTGTGACTGAGGAAATAAGAGAAAACCATCGAGTTGACAGAATGAATCATAACTGTCATGCCCAGCAGAGATGACAGAAAATTAACCATTGCCCAACAAACAGTAAGGAGTACCAAAAGGTTGATATAAAGACCTAACTTCTCCTGAAACCAATGGTCTGAAATCTCCTGTGTAGCAACACGCACCCCATCCTGACAACAAGGCATCTGTGAAGATGTGGTTGTCCAGATGGTGAGGAGAAATATGTACCCCACTTTCATGTTGTCCCTGTCTAACCACCAGAATGAAGTTGAACTGAAGGGAAGAAGAAAGAGATATCTGTAAATCGAGAAGGTCCATGATGAGATGCCCTTGATTGTGTAGTACCCATTGCAAGGAACATGTGCGCACAGCCAAGAGGGAAAAGAGCCTCCAATGATGCTCAAGTCCCCAAAAGAGAAAGAACCTTTCACGCAGGGAGAAAAAGTGCTAATAGTGCCCTCTGAACAAAAAACTCAGTGGATTGCAGAGGAAGAAAAGAAGGCTGGGCTCAACTGAGATGCAAATGGAAAAAAAAAAACACCACCCAGATGAACAAGATATTGAGTGTGGTGGATAACAGACTTCTCCACCGTGATAAACCAACCCACCCAAGCAACTTCTCTGAGACGTTGGGTGTGTGAGGAAGACTCAGTGAAGGATGGAGCCAAAAGAAGCTAGTCCTCCATATGAGGATGGAAATTGAGCCCATTAAAACGTAGGAATTGGGCAAATGACCGGACCTCCCAACAAAACGCTTAATGTGCCAATGCCAGCCTGAAAGGAAGATCTTGGACTTGATAAACGTGATCCTCATGGACAAAATGTAGAATATGACTTGAAGCCCGAGCAACTGGGATGTGAAGATAATCATCAGACATGTCAAATCTTGTCATCCAGAGAGGCCAATCTGAGAGACAGTAAGGATTCCATGGGGAAATGAGGCATGTCTAGGAAGCAATTCAGATGGGAGAAATTGATCACACGACACTAAACTTTGGTCTTCTTGGGATAAAAAAAGTTGGGAAAAACCTTAGAAGCCTAGGAGAAACCTGTTTGATGGCACTATTGATGGAAGGACTTTAACTGTGTCAGATGTTATGTTCACTAATTATCAATTAAAGGCTTTTACTTATATTTCTTAATAGTATAAATATATATATTGTGTTGTTGTTGAGTTTAGGATTCTTCTACAGTAGGTGTCTGTGACTTGTTAGCAATAAATTCAATGATAAATGAACAGCACACACTCCACTTGTTTTCAAAGTAATATATATATATTCAGAACAAGTTAAAAATATGTACATCAAATTCTTTACACTATGGAAGTTATAGGCATATCATAAACACTATATATAGTTCTCTTCTTCTGATCAAAAGTCCACTTTGGCCTATTCAGTTGACAAGCCAAACAAAGGAACCAGTGAAGGAAAGGAGAAGGATGGGAAAGTGAACTGAAAGAGGAGGAGGTTGGGATAATGGGATGTATGGGAAGATAGGGAAGTGTGCAACCTAGGGGGTTCATCATGAGACTCCAAGGTGTCTAGAAGTCCACCAAAGATCATAGATCTCAGAAAAGGAGCTGATTAAAAATCTTGCAAGGAAGTCAGGGCATAGATCTCAGAAAAGGGATGACATCTGGAGGAGACACACATGTGTCAACAAAGAATTTTGACCCAAGAGATCCCAGCAACACAGGAGCCAAGTGTTGAGGGAAAGGGTAGATCAAGACAATCTGGACAAGTTGGTGAGTAGGAGGGTATGAGCTTCCACAGGAAAACCCTCAGGAGAATGATAAAACCCCACTGAAGTATAGGGGTCTGAACCCCAAAGGGTGAGAAGTGTATCCAACTGTTGTACATTGTGAATGGATTTGCTGAATGACAATCTGCAAGTACATGAGCCTCTGCAGTATGTGGAAGCTGCAGAGTATTAACCCCTACATGTTATTAATCTACAAAATGTTCGGCATGGACCCCAATATCAGGCGATGTGGGAAATTCAAAACTCAGAACTAGGTGCAGCAGTTAATAAGGAAGGGAAGGAATCAAATGACATAGGTAAGAAAGACAAAACATACCTGTGATATCAGGTCTAAAAATGGTGACTGAGGTCTAGTTGCTTCAACAGGCTAAGAACGTGCCTGCACAGGAAAGGAATGGGGGGGGGGGGAGCTGTTGAAGTCTGCATTATCCAGTCCTCAGGTAATGGCAAACTGCTTATAGATCGGGAGATCCTTCAGTCTGAATGAAAGAAGACATCTCCCGACAAACAATGGCTGAAACTTGCTCCACCAATAATAGCGCACCTGCAGCCATTGTCATGGGCTGTTGAATGCCAGTACTTTCTGTAACCATTGTAGTCATAATAATGAACTGTGAATTCAAAATTACTGACTGATTAACTACTGGTAATTGAGTGAGAAACAGAACTAACAATCAAATAAATAAATCCAACTTGAAAGTAGATTATAAACAATACTTTGAAATGCAAGAATCAGTAACTGAATATTTTCCCAACACAATAAAAAAACATCTGAAATCAGGCACTAGGTCTTAACACCGTTGTGCCAAATTGAGAAGTGAAGATTGGGTTCAACTGTATAGAGGGAGTCAGCTGCAATAGGAGGGTGTGTCACACTCTTATTGGTTGTCACATTCTAATTTGGCTGCTTAAATGCAGCTGAACCATGTGGTATACACTTGAAATTAAAGTTGGAATTCAAGGCTAGTGGCGAGTGAAAACTTGCACATTAGAGAGCAGTCAAATTGAGAATAGCTGTAACTGTGAAATGAGGTAACTGTATCATAATTAATTTTCTAAATAACTAGTGTCATATGCAACTTATAAGTGTGTGTGTGTGTCTATATATATAAACCAAGAATTATGATGACATTGTGTGTGAATAAATTAGAAGTGCTCAGTTTTGGCAAGTATGTTTGAACTGAATTACGTTTTGTTTATTTGCCTTTATGAAACATAAATTATCATTAATCACTAACTGATTGTATTTATTGTCTTCTGATGGAGACCTTTTGGTTAAAATAATATTTTTAGAGCTCTACAAAAAATGTTTGGACTTATTTGACTGTGCGATTATTTTCATTGTTTACCATGTTACTATTTTTTACGTTCCATCTCTAATACAGACTGGATGAGCACAACAATTTTGACTACTGTTCATTGTTTAATAAAAACAAAATCCTAGTTATATTTGATTTATGTTGTGTATTTTGTGGGATGGTGAAAGGGCAAGTAGATTTTTAAGAGAAAGAAGTAGATTTTTCTAGGATTTTGTCTCTTTAAAAAGAAGTTTTTCAAAAATTGCACACCCCAAATATATCATCTAAAACATTTCTGTTACGGTTCTTCTTAGTGATGTCACTTGGAGGTCCTAAATCAATCAATCTCTTCACATGACCTAATAATTTACCTGAAAGAGGGCTTAAGGCCACCTGGAGAGGTCACTTGTTTTAACCACTTGCACCACTATACAGTAATGTGTTTTCTGTCAGTCAGTAAGTATACACTAAAATGACATCACATAAGGAAAGTTTAACACTGCAATTTGTACTGTCGTGACATCAGTAAAATGTGAACATACCACGAATCACAAGAAGAACTATGCACTCTGTAGGCTACAACTCCATCATGACATATGAACTTCAAAAGCAAGAAACGAAAATATTTGTTACTCTTAATTTTGGTTATATTTAATCTTGAAACAGAACACTTTCAGGGAACCTGCACAAGTACATCTAATCAATACACTATTATTAATTATAGATCTAATACAGCTGCATAAATCACCTGTTATCACAATAATATAATGATGCATGTCATCATATTTAGTTGACTATCTGAAATAATCATTACTCATTAATAAAAAAAGTTTAATGAACAAAATTATAATTTTTGTACTCAGAACAATTTTTAATTGTAATAACTTTTTTAACTTTTCGACCTAACTCTTCTTTTAAATAGTATGCCAAAACTAAAAATTATCAATGGTGATTAACAATTTTAAATATAACAAGTTCAGAATGAAGTAAAACCCAGCACACTAGTAATATGCCAACAAATTAAAAAAAGATCCAAGAAAACACTCAAAGTAAATGAAGTATTTTTTTAACTGATACACAAAATTATACTATTCAAATATCAATAATACTCCCCAGGTTTTTTTATTTTTACATAAAATCATAGCAATGGTAAAACGTTTTACTACTTACTTGAAGGAAATACACTGAAAAACAAACCCATCCACTTTCCAGGTATAGGTTCTTTTTATTTTGATTAAATACTCAAAATTTGTTGATGTTAGAATAAAGTTCTAAATTTTGTTATATATAATAATCATACAAAAGTCAGCAAATAATTTCACCAACCTCCATTCCAGCTTTCACAAACTCCATAGCATCATCTAACTGAAATTCTCTATTAAGGGTCTCCAAAGTCCGACTCATTGTTCTAGAAAACTTACGTGGTCCTGGGGACTCTGGGTGAAGCTTGACAGCTCGGCTAATTACTAAAGAAAGACAATTGAAAATGTTAGACAAGTACTTGCAAGTAAGTCAGGGTCATTCCATGATAAGTCAACTAACACCTACACTCTGCATTGAACTGAGTACTCGAAATTGTATAAATAAAATAACAAAATTGAATAATTTTCAGCTTATTTAGACTATGGGGTAAAAATTACATAACTAACAAAACATGGTTTATTGGTGACTTCACAACTTATAATCACCTTTTCACTCAAAAACTAGCTTGAAGCTAGCCATCAATTTATTAAAAATTATTTAAGGATTCCAATAAAATGTCTGTGGAAAACAACCTAAAAGAATTAACAAGTAAGTTTCTGGCCTTTCTGGAATGAAGTCATAAAAATAAAAATTTCCATAGATATGTCAATGTCTCTGCTTTTCATCTATACAGTCATAAGAAGCTAATATTCTGTTTGTTGTGAAAAACTAAAACATTATAATTACCCCTTTAATGAAATCTAAACAGCATTCAAATAACAAGATCTGTAACAGCTGGAGCAAATGTTTTATTTGAAAAAGATGAGATGATTAAGACAATATCATTGTAAAAGTGGCTACTTTTCTTAAAAGTGAAAGTATAATCATATGCAGGCACATCATTTAGTTTCCATCACCCTTAGCAACATATAAATATTTTTTTAGTTAGTTTCTATACATTTTTGGCATAAACACGATACAGAAAACCATTGAAATTGTTCAATTCTAGTTGAAAGGCTCAATGACTTCAACATCCTTCACTGGTTGACTGGATGATGTCTGTATGCTACAGCCAACAAATGCTGTGAGAGAATGACCGACCAGTCATGTGGTGCTGCTATTGCAAAGAAAGTATACAAATTTTCTTGCTGAACTGGAACATCTATACTTGTATAATTTCACTAAATCAATCTGAGTGCAAAGTGGTATTTATGCTAAGAATAAAAATACTTTGCATCTTACAGTTTTCATATAATGTCCGAAATGAATATCAAAAGCTTTTGATGTAAAAGTTTACACTTTATCTGTTATTTTCTCTATCCTAATACTAACTCTAGTTAAATCATCATGATACAAAGAAAAGAAATTTTGAAAATTATGAAATAAAATTAACAATACTTTTTTCCTTCTTTGATTGTATTATTTGCTACCATATCTTCAAAAATATGAACTTCAGAATTTCAACTTTTTACATTTTCATATATACTTTATTTTAATTTTATTGTTTTATTGCCTAGTTTGTACCATGTAAATTTTTTTATTTTCATGCCTAAAGAGCAACACAATAGCAGATGTCCATACCCTTACGTATGTGCACGTGCAGCTTTGGACTCGTGCACACACGAATGCCTAAGCCTAATTTTCTTTTTCTGCAAGTCTATGTCTGCAGAAAAAAACAACTTAGAGAAGATATAAGTAATATTTTGACCCTGGGCATTATTATGACAATTGAGAAATAATAAATTAACCTGAATCATATAGATATCAATCCTTAGGGCAAGTCGAGCCATTGAGAGATTAAAGAGATAGAGAACCATAGACAGACAATAGATGATTAATCTTACTTCTGTAGTTGGAAAAGTTCTGTGGATTCTGGTACAAGAAATTTAACAAAATCATTTAGCAAAACTTTATATCATACATGGATTCACCAAAGGGGAATCTTGTCTTATTAATCTGAAGTCTTTTTTTCGAGGATGTTGTTATATGGACAAAGGAAAGGGTGTGGACCTGATGTATTTAAATTTTCAAAATGGTTTGCTAGGATGCCAAACAAAAAGTTAGCTAAGAAATCACAATGGTAGGAGATGGGAGAAAGATTAATTAATACAATTGTAGGGTGTTTGATTGTATGGGAAAAACTGAGGTGTCTTTGAGGTGGACAATATTCTTTCATAATGAAGAACATGGTTGATATGCAACTTGGATCCTAGTTGAACTAAGAGTTCTAGGCAGCTTTTTTTACTAGTTCCTTGGGTATACTGTTGGGTTACATGTGCTTTTGGATACATCCCTGAAAGTAGCTGCTGTAACCATCTTGTTTTAGAACTTGGGTAACATGTTTTAACTCTAGATTTTTGATCAGGGTAATGCATAAATTATTAACCCTGTTTTCTAGATATTTTGTGTGATTTTGGAAGGTGATAAATTTTATGTAATTACCAATATGGGTCACTTGAAGTGACGTTTTTTATCGTGAATGTGTAAATAAAATGCCTAAAAATGGCAATGCACAATTGTACTCTTATTAAAAAATAAAATAAATAAAATTGTTAGCGGGTGCTGCCAGCCAGTTGCTTTGCCTTTAGTCAGAAGTTAAAAATTAGTGACAAGGACAGGTAACCTTAGTAGTGTTATGACAGCGGAAGTCACACCATGCTGGGAGCATGCGCGCTGGAGTTTCTAGAATTATCAAGGAACCGATTGTTTGCTAGATGCCCTCTTTTTTAGTATATAAGCCTGGCAAGGAAAGCCAGTGAAAAAGGTAGATAGATCAAAGAGATAGATAATTGAGTCAAGTGAACAGTAGGCACCATAAGGTAAAGTGTGTGAATTACTGTGATTTATAGCGTGTGTTATAGAAGTAGTTAAGTGTATTATAAAGTTTGTATCGAGAAAGAACAAACTAGTTTTAATCAAGAAGAGACTTGTATCGCTGAAGTTTCTCGGAAAGAATTTTTACCGGAAATTATGAAACTAGCAGATACCCAACAAATTGGTGTCAGAGAGTGGCACAGAAAAAAAAAGAAGATGAAAACAAGAAGTGGCGAATCAAACAACAGCTTAGCAGATTTGATGGCAGCAATACAAGAACAGCAAAAGAAACAAGAAGAATGAGAAGATAAACAAGAAAAGAGACTACAGCAGTGGTTGGAGGAGAAAGAAAATAAACAAGAAGAGAGACAACAGCAGTGGCAAGAAAACATGCAACAGTGGCAGCTTGAACAGCAAAATATACAAGAAGAGAGATTACAGCAGTTGTTGTAGGAAAAAGAAAAGAAACAAGAAGAAAGAGAAAAGAAACAAGAACAAGAAGAAAGAAAATGAACAAGAAGAGAGACTACAGCAGTGGCAAGAAAACCAGCACCAGTGGCAACTGGAACAAGAAAGGAAACAAGAAGTACAAATGGAAAAGATTAGTAAATTTCAAAGTGAATTAAATACATTAAAGGACGATTTACTGTATTTTACACAGGGAGGATATATATTAACCATGGACTTAATCAGCC